ATAAATCTATTGTTACATTTTAAGTATAATATTACTTTTTGTAAAGGCTGGACATAGCCTTGTGGATAGCGTGCTTGCACCTGTATTGGAAGGTTCGAGACCGCGATATACTACTGAACACAATAAGTACTTTTAGCTGTGCAATGTGGCGAATGCTGCTGACTGGTGGCTCCCCCTTTAGACTAGAATTTTAAATAAGGGCTGCTATATCATGAGTAATAGTCTCTGATCTGACCGTTTTAGCCAAGTGTCCACAAAAAGTACCCTCTTTTTTGCACTTTGAAAAAAAAAAAAAAAAGACTTACTTTCCTCGTACTTTAAGACCGAAAACTGTTGCTTGTGTTTTAAGTTCGGGTCGTATTTACTTGTAACTTTAAAAATTAAGCCTACTTTGCCTGTGCTTCAGCCTGCATAAAAATGAATTCCCACTTCCTGGAAAACATTTTCTGGAGACGTGCTAGATTTTCAGCCTCGTAGTCCGCCAGCTCCAGTCTTGTTTTATTCTGCATGGTTCGTTTACACAAGTAGACAGCTATGTAACGATATAATAAGTTTATAATCTGATACATATGCATAACTTACATCTTTATGTGAAGATCAAAGTAGTCTATAATGAACTAGGAATAGATGCATATAAAAACAAAAACATTTTGAATAGAATAACTGTCAAAAATGGGACTTGAAGGTTTACTTTTTGTTCATTGTTAAGCACAAAACTACACAATGGGTTGTCTATGCTCTGCCCACTGCGGGTATTGAAACCCCATACATAGCATTATAAGCCCTCAGGCTTACCGCTGAGCCATCGGGAAGATGTAGGCTTAGAACTAGTTTATATTTAACGTTCCAATGTACGTAAAGTACAGATTAACTTTGAATATCTTAGATATTTAACATCACTTGAAAGATTTTTTGTATGAAAGTTGTAGAAGAAGTCACTGATATATATTTTCGTATCTCAATTTGATATTGTTTTACATTGCAGACTGAAACAATGTATTTTCTTTTTTGTTATCACAGTATTCATAATTTATAACAATAGAAGTTCCCGTAGTTATAAGTGATACAAGAATTCCAGCTTCTCTGGGTTAATTTCTATTAGCAGACTGCACCGATGTTTCAGCTAAAGAATCGTCGGTACGATCTATTAATAAAAATGTTTAACTAACAGACACTGGAATTTTTATATTAAACGAATATATCATTGTGCTCATATTGAGCAAAATAATAATTAAAAAGGTATTAATTGCTTTGTTTTAAGATATATTATTTTAAATCAAAGGTTCGCAAGTTTGTTTAATTAACTTCACTTCAAAATGAATGTCAAACTTCTTCTCTTAAAAGAACTATAAATTAAAACTTCTAATTTTTTGCAATTTTGTTCACTGTTTAGAATTGACAGTAACTCTAGTGTGTAACGCTCTAACTATAATGTCACTCCTCCCCTAGCAACGCACCCTCTGGTGAGTAACACTCAAACTATGAGGTCTAATGAGGCCCCCTAGCAACCCGCTAGTTGGTGCCACTTCGTGTCAATATTACGTCATCGTCTAGCCCCGCCTTTATTGCCTGAGGCAGCCAATCAGCGAGAGGAGTTTGATGTATTCACTAACTACTGACACCTGTAATATAAATGAGAACTGTGCTTCGCCATCCATTAGTCACATCGATCAAATTTCTGCAAACTGAGACGACAGAGATGTCTATCTTCATTAACGTTTGTCGCAATAGCGGCGGTAAAGAGGGGGCTTGTTGGGGCTGAAGCTACCATAAAATGTGTCTTAGCCTCCTCTGTAACTTACATACCCAACAAAAAAGTTCAAAAGTTTTCTTTGTTTCACTTTCTAAACACTACAATGTGTGTGCCCACAAGATGCAGAGTACAGCTCCCTCAATTTTGTTGTTTTATCTAGCCCACCTCAACCCCATCACGCAGAAAAAGGATGGCGCCGTCCCTCGTTTGCCATTGTTTCTAACTTAATTTTACTTCAAAAACCTGGTTATGTTTAAAACGCCTCTTTTATTTTGTCAACAAACAAGTGCGAAAAATAATAAGTGCATTGATTTTCACACTGCAAAAAACTACGCCATTACATTCTGTTGTTATAAGTAATTTTGATTTCTTCAAACATCTTTTTATTTTATGAAATTGTGTCGGTAGATGAATAAGAAAGGCCTTTACTAATTGAACAAACTTACCGTAATCCGTATTTTCAGGTTCCCAGCAGTTTGATGGCCAAAAATAAGGAGTCTATTTGGAGAACAGAAATATAGAGTGATATATATTAATACTATCACATTGGTAAAACTAAGACGAAATTAACAACGTGTACTCAAAGTATATAATCAATGGAAATTTAAATATATATAGGTAGACATGCTTAATTCTTTTAAGCGCAAAGCTATACAATGAACTATCTGAGCTGTGCCAACCGTCAGGATCGAAACCCGAACTTAAGCGTTATAAGCCCTTAAGCTTGCCACTGAGACACCAAGAAGGATGACTTTATACACATATATATATATATATTCACTTTTTTTTCTCTGTATTTGTTTTTGCTTGTCATGAGACTTTCTGACAAGCGTCATTAACACGTACCACATGGGCGAAAACATTCGTCGAGGAAGAAGAGTAAAAGGGACCAAAACGTGCTCAAGATATATGGAAAATATCTTTATGAATTATCAATTATCTACCTTTCCTAGGAAGTAGAGGATCTTTAATTATCAAATATAATTTTAGAGGACAAAGGTTATTCGAACCTGATATCTTACAATAAGATGGAGACAAAAACCCAGAAAAGAAATATCTTAAACCTGGAACGATGGCTATGAATGGGCCAATCACCCGCGTTACTATTACGTACCTATGTGAACGTCCAATCAACTGCACTGTTATAACGAAAGAGTATAAATCGTTATCCGAATATATTGTGTGCAGAACGAAATTTTTCTGTCTCACACCTTAATGTAGGACGAAACTTGTGACTTTCACACTTCGTGATCCTCCAGTTGTTGTTAAACGTCACCTAGGTTTCTGCACAGCTGTTAGTTACTACTTTACGAATACCATAATTTAAGATGTTTGTACACCACCATGCACAATCCTTTACTCTACAAATGATAAAAATATTTATCACGTCTCCTATTACACTGCAGTAAGTTGTACCATACATCTCCTCTCTCCTGATCGGAATTTAGGTCTTTGTGACCTAGGAGGGTCAGGTAATACCATACATCTTTGTCAACCGGAAATGTCGATTCAAATTACACAGTTACCATCACATCAGTGTGAAAATGACAAACTTATTTCAGCATTAAGGTGATAAATTAAGTTTCATTGAGCATCAGGGTGAAAATGTGATAAATTTAACCTAGTTTCAAAGTGTGAAAGTGATAAATTTCGTCCATCATCAAGTTGTGAAAGTGATAAGTTTCGTCAATTATCAAGGTGTGAAAGGTCAAGTAAAGTATCATCCAGCATTATAGATCTAAGTCGTATTTTTCTGTTAGATTCTAAAAGAAGGTATGCCGAAAGTATTTAGATATTAAATTTGACTTCTCATGTTTTTTTTTAATTATTTGTGAGCAATCTATTACGGAAATTTGTAATTAGATATCAATTCTGCAAGTTTATACAGTTCCAATGGTTGTGGCGTGTTTGACTCTAAAGACGTTCGACGTAGAATTAGAAAATTGCATTCTCTGCATTTGTCATATACTGTATTGTTAAAAAAAATATTTTCCAACTTAATGCATAAAACTTATATAATAATAAAAAATTAAGAACGTTATAAATTTTGTTTCAATGAAAGTTCTTTAGGGAAAATATCTTGAATATTGAAATATTATGGTTGTTTACAACAATAAGATTGTCCGTGTATTAAATTGTCTCCTTGTGTTGTTCTGGATATTTGCATGTGAATATCTAAATTGATGTTTGCAAAAACCCGTTTATTGATCAAATATTACAAAAGTATGTCTACAAACGTCAAGAGGTTTCGAATGACATCAAACTTTCACACAGTATTTAACTAACTAACAACTATATTTTCCATCTCCAGACGTTTGTTACCAGATCTAAAAGTACTATACTGAAAACGATAAAAATACACTCCAGACAGAGAAAAAAGGAATGTCTGAACAAATGTCAGTTTAAATAAAATTACCTTTTCTGATATATATACAACCACTTCAAACGTTTTATATACTTGTCTTATTCATGATGACATAATAAATTGAGCGAATAAATAGAATCAGACATTTTTTAATGGAATCATTTAACTGAAAATTGTCACAAAATACTCAACAAAAAATAGAATTGTAGATATCTTGAATTTCTAGTAATTATGTTGATTTCAAAGATAAACTTTACGGATAGCCAGATCTAATGAGAGCCAAACTAGTGTCAACCTTTACGTTCTGCCATATGAATCAAATTTTATATGATATTTGTAAGATCTATTAATCTCTTTGATGGTTTGTTTTTGGAATATTTGCGCAATGCTACACAAAGAGGATTATTCCCATACAAACACCCACTGAAAAATGTTGAGATATTTTTGTCTGATCGAATAGTAGGATTTAACTGTTACTCTTCTCGAGCACCCACAGCCCCAACGTGCAGGACGTTTTTGTTTTTTTTTTGCGACAACGGGTCCCGAACCACAAATCCTTGGATTCACTGTCCAGTCACACTAACTAATAAGTCAAGCCCGTACCGATATCAGGACGATTCGTAGTTAAATATTTACATGAGTGACCAATAATTCAGTGACATCAGCAAGCTTATATCAATATATAAAGAAAAACCCTTTGTAATATATATATAAACAGATCCAGAAAGAATAACTATTTGTGTAATTAAACCAAGATAAGAATCAGTAGCGGCCGATTACTTATATTAATAATTTACAGCCTCAATTGCCTCGTCCGTGGGACCTTTATAGGAACCAATTACAGCAAGTAATACAAATCGAATTGGAATCGAAACAACGTTCACGTTTGTTAGCATAAACCAATTTTAGTTTGTATTACTGAATAATACATGCCTCAAAATCTAAACTCACTGAACATGCTGCTTTAACAAATCCTTTAATATAGGCTGTGGTCATTCTGACTCGTCTCAATCACACCTAAACACAGACAGACAAAGTGCATATATGAAAATATCAAACATTTGTACCTGAAACCTGTAGTAGGTGCCATCAGCCTTGACTGTCAGCACGTGATCGTCGATGCAAAAAATGTAACCGTGAGCAGCCATTAAGTGTGCCAAATGAAGGGCTTCCACTGAAAAAAATGAGAAAAGGAAACCTTATTCTTGCAGATACAAACCAATTTAATTCTTTTTTTAAATAATGATTTTTCAAACTAAAAAAAAAAAAGTAGCTCTGATCTTTAGTGTTAGCTATTTTTGCATGAAGGAAAGTAAGCAGGTAGTACTATTTATGTATGTGTGGTTTACTTTAACAGACTGTTGTTTAGACACTTTTTTTTTTTTATTCTCCAAGCTGACATTGTCAGGTGTAATATGTTTGTGATGTCACACACACGCATGTTACTACTAAAATGTTACGCTCTGGCAGTAAGGCGTTTACACCCCAACATAAAGGTGTTGTTTAATAATGCTTGTTTCTTCTATACATTTTCAATGAACAATGTTTTTTAATGATGGTTGTTCGTCTTAAACATAGAAAAGCAACACTTTTTTAAAACAATTATGCTAAGTGATATTGTTTATGAATAAATGTCAACACTGTTTATAACAATAAGTTAAATGTAGATTGTAGTTATTCTTCCCTGGCTTGTAAAAGGCATACACAACATAACAATTGCAGATCCCCCCCCCTTCGTACATAAGTAGCGTTTTATGAAATCTTTTGTGTCTCATTGTTCAGCCCAACTGATGATTTCTGGCATTGTCGGCAGTGACTTGTGGCAGGCAAAAGATAGATCTGAAAAGCTATTCCATACACAACTGTGCTTTCGAGCCATAATGGACAAATTAATAGGAATCTGAAAACACCATCAACAACAAAAGACATCAGTAGTTACTTTTGTTTTTATAACAGGTTTTAGGACTATTGGTTTCCCAATATTTCGCCGACTTTCGGCGTTTAAACCATTTACAACAAATGCACAAAATTAACACTGCTACTTAACAATTCCTGTTTTTTTTTTATACGTTTACCTGAAATTTCGGTTTAGTGATTGTTAGTCGTTCTAAATGGACTTATTTACATTGCTGCTCATTCATTACTGATTTTCTGTTGTTTTAAGTATACTTAATTAACATATTACTGAACAATGTTTGTAATGTGTTCTAAGAATATTTAATTGCTGGGTGTTTATTAATCGTTCTAAATATAGTTAATTGAAACTCTGGTGGTTATTAATTGTTCTAACTATACTTAATTGAAACTCTGGCGGTTATTAATCGTTCTAAATATAGTTAATTGAAACTCTGGCGGTTATTAATTGTTCTAACTATACTTAATTGAATCTTTGGTGATTATTAATTGTTCTAAATATACTTAATTGAATCTCTGGTGATTATTAATTGTTCTAAATATACTTAATTGAATCTCTGGTGATTATTAATCGTTCTAAATATACTTAATTGAATATTTGGTGATTATTAATTGTTCTAAATATACTTAATTGAATCTTTGGTGATTATTAATTGTTCTAAATATACTTAACTGAATCTCTGGTGATTATTAATTGTTCTAAGTATACTTAATTGTATTTTGGTGATTATTAATTGTTCTAAATATACTTAAACGAATCTCTGGTGATTATTAATTATTCTAGACATAATTAATTGAACTTGCTCGGTGATTATTAATTGTTCTAGACATACTTAATTGAACTTGCTCGGTGATTATTAATTGTTCTAAATGTAGTTAATTATATTACTGATCGGTGATTACTGATTGTTTTAAATATACTTAATTAGCATTACTGCTCGGTGATTAGTGATTATTTTCAATACAGCTAATTAACATTACTGAACAATGACTGTTAGACGTTCTCTTCTAGCTTCACACAGACAAAGACAGTTGTTTGTGCTAAGTTAGCACTGCTGATCAATCACCACTATTTGTTGTAAGTATAATAAATCTGCAGTATCATTCATTGATAACTGTTTAATATTGTAATTCAATCATTCTTGTTTATTCTGATTATACCGCGTCAACATCACTGCTCAGTGATGTTTGTTATAAGTGTACCAAGCCAACACAACTGCTAAATGATAATTATATTCTATAAATATATGGTATTTTCAAATAAAACCGATTTACCGACAAGTATCACATATCAGCAGATTCGACCAAGAAATGAGGGGAGTATTCTGTGTTTGATAACTGACTGATTTTCTATTAATATGACATAACAAGAGTGGACAAATATAAATAAATAAATAAACTCTATTGTAACAAATAAATAGAAAGCACAGTTTGATTACTTGCGCAGACAGATTCACACTCGAGTCTCTGCTAAGTTGTGTTTAGTCTCACAGTTTTCATTCTCTCAGGATTTATCTCTGTGGAACTAAAACAGGATGATCATGAAGTATAATATTATCTCCTAGAGAAAGTGAGCCAAGAAAGCACGCCTGAATTCAACAGGTAAGCTCGGTGTTTTTATCCACTAGTCAGTATCACCTCGTGACCTTTGTTCTCTTACAGCATTAGTCAGATGCTACATTTAAACAACATCAACTCGGCCAGCAAAGAAACTTTGTTTGTTTGTTTTTAAGACTAGAGGTAAGGCAGCTAGTCATCACCACCCACCGCCAACTCTTGTGCTACTCTTTTACCAACAAATATTGGGATTGATCTTAAAATTCTCCGTAGCCGTGACTCTTTCCCATCTTTCTTTTAATATCGTTGTTCTTCTCACATAGCCGAGAAATTTGAACTGAACAATGATTGTGCCCTCACGGGTTGCAATGGTGAAGCCAACTTTTGGCGGGTCAGACAAATTATTGCCGCGGGTCACTTGGTGACCCGTGGGTCATAGGTTGCCGACCACTGTGTTACAGCAATATCCTCCTGGGTAGACATTATCTAGAGAACAAAGCAACTACGACAAGGTAATATCAACATATTTTAGGACAACTTGTTTCTGCCAGGAACGGAAAGTAAATAACCAAAAAAAGATTTAAAAGTTCTAAGATAATTAAAAGTAGATAGAAACCTTATGATATGCCAACATACCACACTTTTCCTCTGGCTACTGCTTTTACCACTTTGGTAAAGTTCGAGTTACATGCTAAAACTGTGCTTGGTGGTGACAGTAGTATCATCTAGGGCTGTCAAACTGAACTGATTTATAATGGTTGGAGAGGGCTTGAATGGGTAATGAAAAAAAACCTTATGGTACCTGATGATGACAAAACCTCGTCGCAACGTTGTACATTTGCTGTTATGTTAAACTTATACTAAAGTTTTTCTTCATTACCCATTCAAGCCGTCTCCAAAAGGTACCGGATGATGACAAAACCTTGTCGAAACGTAGTACATTTGCTGCTATGTTAAACTTATATTAAAGTTTTTCTTCATTACTCATTCAAACCGCCTCCAAAAGGTACCTGATGATGACAAAACCTCGTCGAAACGTTGTACATTTGCTGTTATGTTAAACTTATATTAAAGTTTTTCTTCATTACCCATTCAAGCCGTCTCCAAAAGGTACCTGATGATGACAAAACCTTGTCGAAACGTTGTACATTTGCTGTTATGTTAAACTTATATTAAAGTTTTTCTTCATTACCCATTCAAGCCGTCTCCAAAAGGTACCGGATGATGACAAAACCTTGTCGAAACGTTGTACATTTGCTGTTATGTTAAACTTATATTAAAGTTTTTCTTCATTACCCATTCAAGCCGTCTCCAAAAGGTACCTGATGATGAAAAAACCTTGTCGAAACGTTGTACATTTGCTGTTATGTTAAACTTATATTAAAGTTTTTCTTCATTACCCATTCAAGCCGTCTACAACCATTATTAGTCTCCAAGTGGGTTCCTCGTCATCGAATTTGAACTGATTTATATTTCAGGCTTCATGAAATAAGCAATCACTGTCAAAATTCAGACAAATCCCGACTTTTGAACTAAAAGTCTATTTACCAAGATTAAAATTCATACTGTTACTACTGTACTCCAATAAAAAAAAAAGAAGAAAAAACTGGAATTCTTCGTTGGTCATAGTTTCAGTATATTTGTCATGAAGATTGATATCATATGTAGCGAATACTGGGTGGTATTTTCTGCAGAGTTGTTATCACTCAGCTGGTTTATTGGAATGATTTTCTTGAAACATTAGAATGCAAGAGGTTTCAATATCCTTTCAATCACTGATTTTTTATCACATAATCATCCTAATTGTCAATAACTGAGTGATAATTCTACAATGTAGATTATATATTGCATTTCTTTATCACTCAATAGCTTGGAAAGCAAAGAATATCACTTTCTTTCAATCATCAAATGTTCGACCTAATGATTGTCCTAGCTTTGATGATCAATTCCACCCACATTAATTAAGAGGCTAACACTGGTGTGTCATATGCCAGTCAGAGTTGGTAGTTGCTTTCATTTCCATTTCTGGTTGATTGAAGAACATCAGTTACGTTTCCACAGCTTCATCTTTCTTATTAGGCAGGTTGGGATGACTCAAAATGGTGTTCTCATTCTCCTCTGGTCAAACCAATGCACTAAAGGTTCTTCAGTGACATATGGATGCAGCTTATTGACATGTTCCACATGCTTTTGCATACCTTGTGCTCACTGTAGCTCTTACATTAAAGGATCAAATTGGTGGAGTATCAAGCAAAGACCAATCCTATTGGATCCAAGTTGCTTTCATGCAGTTAGCACATACCACAACCACACTGGAACATCTGTTCTCTCACTATCCACTTGTTTTTGGGTGGATTCATTAGCATCAATCATCATTGAGCTTAGCCACTCTACATACACTTTAGGACACTGGCCAATTTATCTTCATTGATAACAACCATACATAACATTCACAGGAAGTAACAATTCCTGTCTAAATATAAACAAGCTTAATAAACAACATGTTGCAGAGCTCTAGGGACAACAATAACAGCAGTGTCAGAGCACCATGCCTCGTGGGTTAATAGGAGTGGTATGGTATACCTTCTTGTACTTTTAACTGCTTGTACAAATGCCACAGGTTATGTGTGTCTATGCTACATTCCGCTATTAGAACATTGGGCTTAGCCTTGCTGAATAGCAAGGAGTGCCCATGCTAAGTCA